GATTTTGGCTTTTCCGCTGTTCGCCGCCGAAAAGAAAAGAAAACGTCTGATCGAAGAAAAGAAACTACAAGCTAATCTCTTAATGTTGCGTGAATCTGGCTTTCTTCCCTTTTGTAGCCCCCGCCAGTTGAAGCAAAGAAACGTCGGGGAGCAAGACTTTGTCTAGGAGTTTTAATCCCATGCATCTCCGCGGTTCACTTTTTTTTCTGACACTATGGGTATCTGGGACCACCCGACTAATCCCACAGCGCCCAGACAGAGCGGGCCGGATCGATACCTAGAACGTAAACAATTAGATTGCGGACTGGAATCGAACTCAGGCAGACTTGGAGTAATGACCCCACCTCCATCATCCGAACAACCCAGCACAGGCCATCTCCCCGGTTCACGTCGACTTGATTTTCTAATTGACCCTGCTGCTACCAATCCCGCGAGTCCTGCTTTTGGGTATCCTTCTACAGTTTCTAACGTGGGCACGCCCTGAGATGAAAAGTCTTCTGGAAATTCTCTTCAAGATACCACTTTTAACATCAATCGCCTACAATTTACACAAATATCAAATATGAGCAAAATTTTAATACTTAACACAGTAAGTAACCAAAATTAGGACCAAATAACATCGCAAATGGTGCCCAACAATTGCTCCATCAATCAAAAATCTGCTTCCAGTTTTTTCATTTGGAAATGATTGTTTCAAAGCATTCCAAACGTGAGTGTCCCACACGTCATCCATAACTATCAAGTACCTCTTTCTCATCAAGTGCTGGTGCAACTTCAAGTCCATATCCTCATCAGCCATTTGATATACATCATCAGTAAGTTCACCACTGTTGCTTAAAATGTCAACTAGTAACTCCCTCTTTGCATGTCCTTGCGAAACGGAACACCATCCACAAGCATAGAAGTGAAGTGTAACTTTGGGATCGTTGTACAATTTCTTGGCTAGGGTAGTCATACCTGGCATGCCAACAATGGAGACAATATCTCGCTGTGGGGATCCTCTGGTCAGTTGATCAATTATAGTCTCTTCCTCATCGCTGAGAGATACCACTTGCTCACCAGTTCCAGCTTCTGGTATGCTGACTGGTGATTTCATATGGCTAGAATTCTGGGAGACAATGTGGTCTCTGGCATCAAAAGTCTTCTCCTCATAAATTTTGGTGGTCTACATCTTAATGAGTCTTATCTCTTCGAGAACCTCATCAAGCCACAATACATGCTGCCAATGGCTACCAATTCCAACCTCAATCGAGTCAATGATAAATTCAGCCTCATATGCCGCATTTGTAACATCTGTAACGGGATCCATTTGGTCTAGATGCTCGTTGTCCAGCTTATTGAGAAAAGATCTCAAAAACTCCTAATTGGATAAAATATTTTCAATATGATGCTTCACCAGTGCAATAGAATCTAGGTCATGTTTGAGAAGCTCCCATAGATTTACTAAGAGATAATCAACAAAGCCCAATCCATTAGTCTTGGGGAAATTATGCCTTGGATATTGGGGGCAGGACCCTCTAAGTTCTAGCTTGATCATTGCCATCCCTTGTAGCAAATCAGAAAATGAAAGATTCATTTTGTCAACCTTCTCCTCTGTTTTTTGTTGACAAGAAATGAGTAACAGAAAGATGTAATCCTCCTAGCATTTGCTTCGACTTGTGTGAAGATCAATTCAACATTCTCCTTCATTTTCTCTGGCTGATTAGTGACAAAAGCTGAACACAACCTCAGCCCCTCGAGTAGCGTTTCAATCTGATCTTTCTCAAGGCTCATCAAACTTGGATCACTATTCAGTAATTCCATATAAGATGATTCTGCTTTGAATAGCAAAATCTTTAGGAGCAACATAAATAGTGAAATCCTTACCTTGTCTTATGTAATCTTCTTGTCACGAAAGGATTGTTCAAGAGATACTACCTCTTTGGCCACTTCTTCGATGAGCACAGATATAGGTTCTGGTTTGCCATGTTCCATCGCCTCCTCGGGTTGATCTTTGGAAGATATTTTGAGGCCCTGCACAATCTCGTTAAGGTCCTCAGCTCGGCTCTTTGAAGAAATTGTGCAACTTTTCAGTTGCTGCTTAAGGAAAACCTCTGCCTTGAGAAGAGAAATCTTTGTATGCAACTTGGGAGCTGAAAGACTACCAAGTTGCATACGCCTAGAGAAAGATGCTGCTAGGATAAGCACAGCTTTAATTTCTTCCGAAATGCTTTGTCCATCCGGACTTGATTCATCTGGTTCATTGATGACGAAGATTACAAGTTGTTTTAGCTCACCTGAAAGATGATTGGGCTCTCCAACATTGAGGAGACTCTGGAGAAAAGAAATTGCTAAACCATCAGCCAGGCTGCGGTTAATTCTGATGAGTGCTTTCAAGAAGTTGAGATTCAACTCTAGGATCTCTGGAGTAGTCGGATGAATCTCACACTGCAGATCCAGAAGTTGGATAATCTTACTTTTGGCTAGGGCCGGGTCCCCCTTTCTGTTGATCCAGTAATGAAAAGACTCATTTGCAATGCGTACAGCAAGAGATGCAATATGAGTGTTGAAGCTGGAAATCATTTGATCACTAGGGACGTCAGAGTTCAACTAACGGAGTGCATCCTTTAAGAAACTTATGAGAGGCAATAAAAGGTCATTTCTGAAGGCCTTGATTTGTGCTCTTTAATCATCAATTCATCATCAACTTTTTGATCACCACCCTCGCGTTCAGCCAAAATCTCTTTCAGAATCTCCGAGATAGATACCAGAAACTGGCTGCAAAAGGAATGAGAAAGCAAGGGAAGCTTCCACTCCAATGAGCAGTGCGACAAAAGGTCGAGAGCTTGTCCAGTTTCTTGCTTGCAAAGATCAATCTTCCTTTCCCAGTCACAAAACACGTCAATAGTTTCCAGAAGCAAACTCTTTCGTGAAACAAATTTGTCATCGCAAAGAATTTCAATCTTCTATATTATCTCGCTGAAAGCTGCCTTAATTGTGGTGAGGAGAGATCCCAAATCTGGCACAACTTTATCTGCATTGCTGTACTTCTGAACATAAATCAGCAGCTATTTAAGATGGTTCTAGTAAGTTGATTCGTACCGTAGGCGAGCCAGTTTAAGTTCCAGTGCCTGGTGTTTGTGTTTTGAGTCTGAGCTCAACAGTCGCTTCACTCAGCCAATACTCATGTATACACATCATCTAGTTTGTCAATCAACTCCTCTATGGCAGAATTAAAGTTATCAGAAGAATCAGAAAGGGATGCCATCTTTGTTGGCAACACAACCATGGTTCGAAGTCTCGGTCGAGTCGTCACCGTCTCGACCCCTACCGATACGATACCGTGACGAAACGATACCGAAATATTTGACTCGTCGAGAAATCGGCCGAGTCGTCACCACGACTGATTGACTCGGCCGAGTCACACCGAGTTACTCTGAGTTATCCCGAGTCAAGACGAGAAATCAGCCGAGTCACACCGCGACGGATTGACTTGGCCATTTCTTTTGTTATTTTTTAATTATTTTTATTTAGCCTACTTTTTTATATTATTAACAATTTTTAGAATATTAAATACTTTAAAATTTGCGTTTCACCGAGACCGTGACCGATATGCCGAGACCGATGTGGAACGTTCCGGGCCGCGCCCGCGACCGCGACCGTGACTTTAAGCCATGAACACAACCTCTCTGAAGATCCATTCAAATCTCAGGAAGCAAGACACAGAGTAACTGTTCTAGAGCACCCTATTCTGCAAGGTACTACGGTTGTTTTCTTCAAAAAATATGTTAGCATGAAACCAACATTCAGGTTTAGGAAGAAATCAACGTCAAAGCATTAGCAATCATGTTTCATGCCAAAGCACTACTATTTTTTTAATATTTCAAAAAGTAAGTTTGTATCAAAAGTTAAAGGGAAAGGAAATTCCAACTTTATTCAAAAAAGTTAACTAGGCTGTTAAGTTATTCCAACAAATTTATGCAGCTTCAAAAAGTTGATGTTTCCATTAACACGAAAATCAAAAGCAGAAGATTAAATTGGAGTTATACTTATCATCAAAGACTAGACCTTTATTATGGAAAAGATTAATTTAAATAATCATGTGGGACTTTCACCTTTCAGTGGCAAACGAGAAATTAAATTCATATGATGCCATGCCCTAAACTGTTTGTGTTACACTTGCCAGGCGAAAGTCTATTTGCATTTACTTTTACCAGTTTGTCATGGGTCTCTCTTCATTTTGTCCCTTTGGATCAATTACAAAAAAGTACCTCTTTGTTATATTAATTTCTTTGGTTGGTCCACTTCTTTTCTATCATGGAAGAAAAATGTGCAAATAATTGCGTAATAATTTTCGTCCGACCCAATATCCAGAGGTGCCAATCATAACATAATTTTGTTGACCCGTTTAAACTTGCCCACCACTAATCTTGAATGGGTCTAAATGTGTATTTAAGTAAACTCATTTAGTTGGTGGGTAGTGAGTTAATTCTGCTCACTTATTTATACCCATTTAAAAAATAATTATATATTTAAACTCAACTTTTAATAAGTATTAAGTAAATAAATTTTGATTTTTTATCAATTTAATACAATAAAATACCGTTATCTCTTGTCAAACAACATGGAAACAAATTTTAAAAAATAAGTAGAATTTTAAGAGACTCATTATGGGTAATTAGGTATATCCTTATTCATTTATTAAAAATGTATAATTGGTTTGACCTACTTATATCCATTATCCGATTATGACCGACTCAAACCCATTTCAATCACCCATTTTGACAACTCAACAGCAATAAATCAAATTTTGTGTTACATAATCAAAAAATTTTGTCAAATCGTTAATTCTATAAATCGTAATAGTATCACACAACAATGTTAGATGAATTTAAGCTAAAAATTCCGTTTCGGAGCAATTTAGGGTGGAGAAGTCAATAATAAATGCGTCCATTTCTTCTCTTCAAAGCCCATTCTCTTGTCTGCGACTTTTTTCCCCCTAATTTTTTCAAGTTTTGGGGTTTTTTTTTTTTGGCCTATTTCACGATGGAGTCCATCGCATCAATCGAATGCAAGAGTTTTTCAGTATTTCGCCATTACCTCTAAGTCCATTGATTTAAATTTATTATGAATATGACCACAATTATTTCTTAGTTCCAACCAAGAATATCAACATAAGCCAACCTCAAACATAAATTTCAACATAAACTTGCAGCAATGAATAGGCTGCAGATAAATTAAATCTTACCTATGAGCTGATAATTAATAAAAACAAAAAGTTATAGAAGTACTTCCATTTTACTGAAAGCTTCTTGCAAAATGCAAATATCAGCTCACGACTAAAACAGACTGAGCTTTGAGATTCATGATCTTATGGTAAGTGAGGGAATCCACGTCCATGTCTTCCCAAAAAATCTTACATATGTATTTACATCTTCACCTGATTGAAAATGAAATCTTTCTTCTAATTATCTGGTCAAAATTTTTCTCAAAATCACTTACCCTGAAAACTATAAAAACTTTTATACTAATAGTTTTAAAGAATTTTCTATTTTTTCTAAAACCTAAGACTATTTATAATAGGGTAAAATACACTAAACCCCCTTGTGATTTGGGTTATCATCATAAAACCTCCTCATTGTTTAAAAACCCCCAAAGTACCCCCTCATAGTTTGGATTAATTTGGGCAATGAACGAAAATCGTCTAATTTGACGGAAAATATGAAATTTCTATATTAACCTTGTTTCAAAACTTATCATCTTCTCCAAATCTCCATTTTTTCCTTCGACAACAATAGAACAGCTACCAATTACCACAGCCACCATTCAACTAAAAACCCATTCTCCTTCAACTCGGCCTTCGTCACCGCATCCACCTCAATCGAGCCCATGTCCACTGGCATCACAGTCGATAATAGCCCTCCCAAACCATTATCTGAACCTAGAGTCGCAAGCTGCAGCAGAAGTAGAAGCAGAAGCTGAAGTTGCCTCCATTGAGTCCATTTCCAAGTTCCGAATTGCACTAGTCCAGCCCTCGGAAATTAGTCCGACCCGATCCAATTGCTAACAGAAATCTTAATTGTTCCGCAAAAGAGCTCAAAAAAAGAAGGAAACGATTTTGCAAGAAATACTTTAAAGAAAAAGAGGACTTTTTTTTTCCAGTGCTACGTAGAAAGAAAGTACAAATTTAAAAGCAGAAAAAGTACTCAAAAAGCTTTCCAATGGCAGAGAGAATTTTGGAAGAAAAACCAGAGAAACTTTCCTGGCTTCCTTTTCTCCCTCTACCCTCATAATATTTTTTTTTTGTTTGCTGGGTTTGTGGAAAATGGGTTCTTGTTTCTTGTTCTCTCACCCAGAAAGATTGCAAAATGCCAACGGCGCAAAAGAGTCTTTTGATGCTTTTGCCAGATCCTTTAAACAATCCATTGAAACTTTGAGGCGGTCGCAGTTAATGGATCTCTATGGCTGAAATCACTTTCCATTCTTTTCATTCCATTCCGTTGAGCTCCCTTGAATCACAATCCATCTGTATTTGTTCCAAGCCCGCCACCGCCTTCAATGCCATATTACTCTTTGCTCAGCCTACCAATTGATTACATCCCAAACCCATCTGGTATAACCGGAGGAGGAGGATTTGTCCCGCACAACAGCCCCCGAGTTTACAACTAAATTCATCTGGTACAATGATGGAAGTGTACAAATCAATCTATCAATGGTAATTTTTGCTGCTTCAATTGCCATGGTCACCACCGTCATCGTCATCTTCAACATCATTGCGTCTTAGATTTCATCTAAATTCATGTAATTTCTACTCCAGATCGTTCAGGAAAAAGAAGAAAAAGGGAGAACAAGGAAAAAAAGAAAAGAAAATAAAATAAAACGTAAAATTATCACATTACCTTTGATGTATTATTATCACACTCGCTTGTCAAGTGTGTGTAATTCACTTCCCGTCAAATTAAACGATTTCCGTTCATTGTCCAAATTAATCCAAACTATGAGGGGGTACTTTGGGGGTTTTTAAACAATGAGGAGGTTTTATGATAATAACCCAAACCACAAGGGGGTTTAGTGTATTTTACCCTTTATAATATAATCCTAGATGATATATCCAAAATACAACATAATACGGAAAATTCTTCTCCTGAGGTTTTATCTGTTTTTGAGAAGTACTGAATTAATGCATTAAAGCTTTGACTATTTTGGTGTCATCTCCTATAATGTTCTATATATTATCAAGTAAGCATTGGGAAGTAAGATTTAACCAAATGTCAAGTTTTTGCCAAAATTACAACAAATAAAGTTGAAGTAAGATTTGACCAAATGTCAAGCTTTTGCCAAAATCAACTTTTTTAAATAGATAGTGTGCTAGACTATTTACCTAACCATTTTTAAATAGACAGTGTGCTTAGACTATTTAGCTTTAATATGTTCCAATGCCACTTGATAAACATTTGCTGCTATTATATTACTAAATTTTTCCATCTCTAGCTACTTATTTGTTTCTCATCGGCTTTATTATAGAATTTTACTATAACTCCACAATTTGTTCTAATAGTTGTCTAACTCAATATGTTCAAGAGCATATAAGCCAAGTAAATTTTATAAAAATATATCTATAGTTTTCTTCCTTAACTCCAATTTTTTCCTTCTTTAACTCCAGTTTTTTCTTCCCGCTTATCTTATAAAATAGTAAGCATATAATAGTCTTATCCCTTAAATAGGCATAATTGATTTTAATCATATCCTTAATTCATCGTAATAGATATCTTGAATAGGCATAATTGACTTTAATCATATTCCTAATTCATTGTAATAGATTTCTTGAAAATTAAGGGAAAAAAAGCAACAAATTAGGATGAAATTTCTATATAATACAACGTGAAATTTGAAGACAATCCAAGCTTTGGTTGTATGTCCTTGAACTCGATATTTTAACAAGCCAAGCCAAATTTTTCGTGAACATACATCTGAAATTTCAAACCAAGTTCCATCAATTTCTTTCAAAAATTATCAAACACAAGCCAAATTCAAACAGTTTTTTTTAAAATGTTCAAACAAATCCTGAACATACCTTTATCTGGCTCATTGAGCCTTATTTTCAGCCCTATTTATTTCTGTTTATTTGGTATGTTTTGTTTGCAGATTATATTTCATTTCCAATTATTAGGAGTATGTACCCTAACTTCTGGATTTTATACGTGCAAAAATGGCATTCACTTGCTTCTGATTGCAACTCATGACACAGCATGTTACAATGGAGCAATGCTTGAAGTGCTTGTGAAAGATACAGTGTTACGTGCTTTGTCCCAATCACTTAGTCTATGTGACATGGATTTTGACCAAACTAGTTGATAAGTAAGGATAGTTGAAGTGACGATGGATGACTTCTCACATGCTCCTACACAATCTATTCCTAAATATTTTACATTTGGAGTCCCGGACCTTTGGCTGTTGAACTTTGGCTGAGGATGGTATCATTTCCTGGAAATTGCAAAATTAAATTACTATATCTTACATCTCTTTCATTCTTTTCATTTAGTCTAGTAGTATCATAGGTTTTTAGTTATGAAAAATCCTACTTTAAATAACATACGACTTATACGACAGACACAAGATGATTCACCTCTTGATTTATAGGAGTTTTCATATATTTGTGTCTATCGCTTTGCAAATCGTATTTTTAAAGTCAGTTGAACTCTTTAGTTATTTTATAGTAATAAGCCATGTATGTTAATAGTTAATTTTGTTTGAAGTTATTGTACTACTAATTTGGAAAACAAACCTAGCTTTCCATTAATTTTTAGTAGATTTTAAACAGAGCACTTTCAATTAACAGAGCACATTTTAAATAGCGCACATTTAATTAGCATCCAATATAAAGCTTCACTATTAGTCCATTATCTTCAAATAAGAAAAAAAAATGCATAATTAAACCAATATATAAAGTGTATTAGTTAATTAATTATGGAGGTGACGACAATGCAAGGTTATCACTGATGTGTTGGCTACTTTGAATCAAGTGTGACAATTTCCTATGTTGTGGCTAAAGAACCCCATTCTGTGATGATTTTTTTTCATTATTGAGATATGTTGTTACTAATGACCAAATTTCTTATAGTGCTCAAAAACTATTTGTATTTTCCTTTTGTTAAGTGCTTGACTGAGCTATTGTCACTGACGACCAAATTTCTTATACTGCTCAAAAACTATTTGTATTTCCTTTAGTTTCGTGCCTGACTGAGCTATGTTAAGGTTGAATGTTGCTGAGTCGTCATTTGGAAATCGTGATTAAAAAATGCTAGAGTTCCTGAAAGCATAGGGAGCCTCAATTTTAAGTATCATTTTTAGAGATATTTTTGAGAGCATTTGTTAATTAAGGTACTTAAATATGGAGTTCCTGACTCTATTCCTGCATGTTATACATATGGAGTTCCTGACTCTTGCACATCTTTATGTCTAGCGGCAATGAGATAACATCATAACATGTAGAAGCAGCACATAATGTCGATATAATTACAACAATTCTGATATTATCTTTTGGGATCCAAAACTATTTTGACCAATTCATGCTATGTAAACTTTTTTCTTTTCTTTTTTTTTTTAATTTTCTCATTGTATGTTTCAAAGTATAATTAGCGAACGAAACATTCTAAATTTCTTATGCTATTTGGTTGTATTAGTCTTTGTGGTAGTCGGTCTTTCACCCCATGTTTTTAAACTCGGATCAGGCCGACCGATTCGACTAGTTGAATCGGGAACAGGAGACATGTCCAGTCCGAGTTTGTTCAAAAACTCGGGTGACAAAGACCCGGTCAATACCGGTCAAAACCCGGGTTTGACCGAAAACTTGGAACAACCGGGAAAAATCTGGTTCTTTTTGAGCATCCAATTTCTGCTATTTTTACCCAATTTTTTTTTCTAACATCGAATTTCTGCTATGTTTCTTCGAAAATTTTCAGCATGGATATCGATCCTTGAGTGCAAATTCGACGGCAACAGCAGTGGTATAGTCACAATAAACTGAGTGAGCACAAAAGGAATCTGCTTTGACAAATAATATAAGCTGCAGGCATATACGTACCTTGGTGTTTTTCAAAATGACCCCAAGTGTGCGAGCTAAGAGAGTCTTCCCCGTACCAGAAGGTCCATGGATTAGGAAACCTTTCACATGCTTGACACCATATCTGGGAAATTGAGGTTTCTTAGAAATTTTCAAGCCAATGACGTAATACATATACAGCTAACGTAACAAGTGTAAATTTACTTTCTGGCAACGCGTGGATGGTACATCCTCGAGGCAATCATCCCCAGGAACATCTCTTTAAATGATTCATCAGTACCAACACCCAGTGATTGAAAGTCGAATTCTTTCTGCCGAAAGATGCTGCTTGGTTCATGCTGGTTGAGTATCTGCATATAGCGGCAGCACAGCAAAGTAAAACTTGTTTATGATTCAAACAAAATTGATACAGATCTAGAACCTCTATTTGTATTGCTCATACTAAATCAATATCAACCTTTACTCTTCTAGGGTATGATGTCTTGAAAATCATGCATGTTTCAGCCGAGATCATCCCAAGCTGCATTCCATCCAAATCCTTTTGCCCTTCTATAACACCTTGCATAACTTTGAAAACATACGGGTTCTTATTATACTCAAATTTTACCTGTTGCTCAATAGAAAGAACCTGCACATATTTAAGAGTAGAGTCAAACTACTAAATTCTTATTAAGATCAGGATGATGTAGCTGTAGCTATGTTTGGTCAGTTGACATTGATGAGCAAGTCTCAGAATGAGTATTGATGCTTCAACTCCCTACTCTAGTCAGATTGGCTCAATAAAAGCCAAAAATCCCTAATACAGAGTCTATGAGCATCCAATCTTGTACATTTCCTCACTGCCAACAAGTGATTAAACCATTGGCATTGTGATCATGCACTGCCTGCTGCTACTAATCCACTATATCTGGTTAGCCATATTATTGCAAACTTCAAAATTTGAACAATAAGGGAGTTAAAAAGTAATGCATACATAAATAAAAAATTATTTTGACAACTATGCTGCTCTTGCTGTTAATCATCGTCTAAGCCCCCCACCTCTGAGACCAGCTTTTCTATATCTACATCAGGCAATTTCTTTATTGGGTATGAATGATCTAGAGGTGGAAGTTCTCATGGCCATCATATTATTGCCGATGATTTATTCTGCTTTCATCAAATATGGGTTACAAGACTTAAATTGTAAACTTTGTACACATAAATACTACTGGAGACTACAAAAATGCTGTTGAATGATACGCATGGATGGAAGCATTTTAGTAAAAATTTCTGACCACAATTGCAAGGGTCATAGGACTATCCAGCACATAGCAGCCACAGACAAGTAATATCTGAAATTACTGGAAAGAACATTACCAATCCATGGATGGCAGCTCTATTCTCTAAATCTGACATAAGCACCAGTTGTGGGCTCCAAACAAATTTAAGAGAAACTCATTTTTAACGGGAAAAAAAGGGAAAAGGAATGGTGTTCATACCTGACCAACATTTATAGATCTTATATGGTCACACAGACTATCAGCATCCACCTGCCAAACAATATATTCCACACTCACCAGCCAGCTAATGCAAATTAAAATGATGCTGCAACTAAGGGCATAAAGCATAGACAGCAGAGTCAAATCACATTCACACAAGCTAATTCAGGCCACTAAATTGATATCTAATAAAATGAAAACAAGCATTTAACAGTTTATGACAGATGGTGCTTAGAAAACATACAGATTCTTCTTTACTTCCCGGGTGGAGAGGTGTGACATCAAGGGTTAGTGTAGGGCTGCAAACGAATCGAGCCGCTCGCGAGCGGCTCGAGTCAAGCTTGAGTCGAGCTCGAGCCAGCTCGAGTCAAACTCGAGCTCAAACTCGAGCTCAGAATATTAAGCTCGCTAGCTCGCGAGCTTGAGTATATATATATATTTTTTATTTTTATTTTTATTTAATAATAAAATTACGTATATTATATTTTTTTTTATTTTTTATTTTCATAGTGAAATTACGTATATATCCTTAATATTTTATTATTTATTCAAAAAAAATATTATTTTATTTATTTTTTTAAAAATAAAATTATTTTATTTTATTTTTTTCGAGCTCGAGCTCGAAAATTGCCAGCTCGTCGAGCTCGAGCTTGGTAAAATTTAGTTGAGACTCGGCTCGATTAACTCAAAACTCGACTCGGCTCGACTCGTTTGCAGCCCTAGGTTAGTGAAGTGAAGTCGAAATTTTCAGGGGGTATAAACCTACAATTTAAACCAATGTAAAAATTTTAAAAGCGAAAAGATAACATCAGAAACCAAAGAACAAGTACAAACAAAAATTTACAAACGGCAAACCTGCTGATAGATATTTGCATGCCAGGATCAACATTTGCCATATTCCTTTGAACAGAATTCATCCCAATGTAACCCTTTGGAATGGATTTAAAGCTAGTGAACACTCAGTTAAGGCACAAGCATGTATATTTTAAGCTTAGCAGATCACAATATACGCTCTTAGACCAATATTTGGGATTTTTGGGGATGGGAAGCATTAACGTGCAAGAAATAGGGGACATGGGTACATATCTTAATATATGGAAGCTCAAAAGGATATTGGATTGACAGTACCAAATTGTCACTTAGGCGAGCCAAACGAGGAGGAGAAGGAAAATCTTTGAATCGGGAACAATCATCAGGTCTGAATTTGGCACTGTCCTTGGGGTTACAATAGGCATAGTTACTGAAGGAGCATCCAGAGTCCGGAATGTGTTTCACTATCATGGTCCATGCTTCTTCCATTTCTTCTGGCTACAATATTAGGAGATACTCTTGCAATCAAAGTGCAACCATACTCAATGTGCATGCTAAATACAATATGGGTGTTTGAAAAAATAAAAATGTAAAATGTATCAAAAACGAATCAAGGTTAAAGATTGTAAGAGAACTAACAATGTAGACCTGAAACTATCCTAAAAATCCATGGCAGTAACTGGGTTTTGGAATTAACAAAAAAAAATAATAACGATAGTATTAGTAACCTACCTGAGTCACAAAATCCTTTGCTAAGATTAACAAACCTTAATGGAATTTACCAAATGTTTCAGAGTTCTGCTAACCTTATTCGCTGTTAAACCATACAGATTAGTCACAGAAAAAGGACATTATTACTCATCATAGGACTAAATATTAATCACAAATAGATTTACTGAGTATTTCAAGTTCGACAGCCATGCTGGTGAAAATGCTGACCATCCTATAATCTTCATTCACTTTCAGAACATTTATGTAGGAAACTGGGAAAAACTTCAGTAGTCCCTATAGATTAGAGGCCCTTAATATCGAGGCATGTTTGTCTACTATGTAATGCGCATCTGACACTCTTGGCATTTAAGGATCATTATAAGACTTACAAAGATCAAATATAGTTTTGGATAAATTTGACCAGTTTGGAGATTCTAGAGGCATGAGTAAGACATAATCTATCTAAAATGAAGAGTGCTTTTAGTAGTATTAAGTGAAAATGCAGTGCACTGGCTTCTCTTGATAACAAATAAGAAAGGCAAAACGGTGAATGTCTTCCAACATGAGACCTTGCTCGGTTGAATGAGCATTAAAGCTACACGTACTGGCTTTCATGGATCAGCTTAATTATTACTGAAGACCTTTCTCACAAAAATGCTTCCTCCTAGCATTTAGACTCTCATACTAAACTCCTAAGGCCACACTATTTCACCGGCATTGAATTTAGGGAACTGCATCTTTTCGAATAAATTAGGACTACAAGTTGAAGACAAGAATTATAAACAAAAATTTATGAAGTAATGTACAAATTTTAACGCCTCTATCCTCCGGCAATAGCCACAAGAGTCATCATTTTAATAATTGCATTGGTTGTTAATGGACGATACAAATTTTCTTTCTCGTTTAAAGCAAATAGAAGACTTCGAAACCTGGGGAATCTAAGTCATGGTGGAAACATTTATTACTTAGTCAATATTCCTCCCTCCACCTGAGACTGTTTCGCTAAGAATTAGTCATCCGAGCTGCCATATCAAGCATGCACTTCTAGCAGGACAAAAACCATCTAAAAGATTCATTACCTCTAGAAAAAGATGAGCATCATCCCCACAGAAAACATTAATAATAATACTTGGTGAAGCAAGTTGGCGTGGGAGTAAATTCTTACCTGCTTTGCTTCCGGAAGAACCAAAGGTGGAGAGAGGAAGCTGCTGTCTCTTGAGAGAGAGTGGAGAGCAAAAGCCTTTTGCGGAGGTTTAAACTTAGCTGTTCTTCTCCCAGCTGGACCCACTGAATCGGGGAGTGGAGTAGCAAGGAAAAGAACGGCCTCCAGTCCAGTCCAGAATGCATGCCTGGGCAGGAGAGGGGAGACATTTATTTGATAGTGACGACATTAATTTTAGGACGTACGACTCTGTCTTTTTTAGCTACTTATAGGCCTGTTTGGAACCTCAGTTTTTTGGGAGTTTGTCTAAAACTTTACTGTAGTGCACTGTAGAAGTTTTTGAAAAAATTTTGTAGAAATTTTTGTAAGGTGAAAAACTTTTTTGTAGAAGTTTTTGAAATGTTACTTTAGACGTTTTTTGGATTATTTTTAGAGGTATTTTTAAAACATATTTTTGAATATTTTATAATTTATAATTTTTATATTTTTAAACATTTATGCATTTATAATACATTTATAAATATTTTTATATATTTATATAAAAATACATAAATGTATTATATTATATATAATACGTAATATACATATATTTATAAATTTATAAATGTATAATTAATATAAATGTATAAATTATAAATGAATATTATATAAATGTATAAATTATAATTTATAAATGTATATGATGATTATGTATAAATGTATTAATATAATTAATACAAATATATAAATGTATTAATATTATGTATAAATGTATAATTAATATTGTTTATAATTTATAATTTTTATTGTTTAATTATTCATATGCATTTATGCATTTATAATACATTTATAAATATTTATAAATAAATATATTTATATATTTATATAAAAATATATAAATTTATTATATTATATGTAATACATAATATACATATATTTATAAATGTATAATTAATATAAATGTATATATTATAAATGAATATTATATAAATGTATAAATTATAATTTATAAATATATATGATGATTATGTATAACTGTATTAATATAATTAATATAAATGTTTTAATATTATGTATAAATGTATATATATTTATGCATTTATAATACATTTATAAATAAATATATTTATATAGTTATATAAAAATATATGAATGTATTATATTATATATAATACATAATATAAATATATTTTCAAATGTAATAATTGTATATTATTATAAATGAATATTATATAAATATATAAATTATTATATTATAAATATATAAATATATAATATTATGTATAAATGTATTAATATAATTAATATAAATGTATAAATGTATTAGTATTATGTATAAATATATAATTAATATTGTGTGTTAATATTATGTATTAATGTATTATGTTATACATAATACATAATATAATTGTATATAAATATACATAAATATATATACATAAATGTGTAATATATATAATATGTATTATATATATTAAATGTATAATATATAATATTTATATAAAAGTATAATTACATATTTATATTAATATTAATTTATATGGTATATAATATTTATATAAATATATAAAATATATTTTAAATAAAATAAAATATTTATAATATGTTTAAATAAATATATAATATATATAATAAATTTTTGAAAGATTTTGAGGTTACCGGCGGCGCCGGAATAGGTAACCGGCACCGGGAGAGGTGGTGGAGGCGGTGTCTGGTGTGGTGGGTTGGATGAGGGAGGAAGAAAATTTTTTGAGAAATTTTTTGAATATAGATTATTGAAGTGTGTAGGTAAAAAATTTTGAAAATTTTTTTGAGATTCTTGTAGCAAAAGTTATTAAAAAACTAGTAGCTAAAAAATTTGGTAAAAACTTGGCACCCTAGTTTTTTACCAAGTTTTTTGGCTACTAGTTTTTTAATAACTTTTGCTACAGGAATCTCAAAAAATTTTTCAAAATTTTTTACCTACACACTTCAAAAATCTATACACAAAAAATTTCTCAAAAACTTTTCTTCCTCCCTCACCCAACCCACCACACCAGACACCGCCTCCACCACCTCTCCCGGTGCCGATTACCTATTCCAGCGCCGCCAGTAACCTCAAAATCTTTCAAAAATTTAGTATATATATTATATATTTATAATATTATATATTTATATATTTATTTAAACATATCATAAATATTTTATTTTATTTAAAATATATTTTATATATTTATATAAATATTATATACCATATAAATTAATATTAATATAAATATGTAATTATACTTTTATATAAATATTATATATTATATATTTAATATATATAATACATATTATATATATTACACATTTATGTATATATATTTATGTATATTTATATACAATTATATTATGTATTATGCATAAC